AAACTGGCGCCTCCGGAAAATCTCCACAACACTGCCTACCGGAAGTTGTCGACCGTACACTCAACACACGGAAGTTATCCGGAAGTTCTATTGTGCACGAATCCATATTGGATTGGGACGCACCTTTTGAATGAGCTAGGATTAGCATCCGGTGCTACATACACAGCTATTGGCAAAACGGCGTTGAATTCACGAGGGAGGTAAGTGGGTCGGCATTTAATCGTAATAAACTCCGGAGAGCAGTGTCTGACAATTACGGTGGAATTCGTGCACCAGCTGTTGTTCACGTAGATGCACAGCCCTCCTCCTCATTTCTTATCGGAACTTTCTGACCTGTCTTGCCTATGTGATGTGTAGCCTGCTAGCTCGATCGCCGTGTCCGGAATGCGTGGATTCAGCCACGTCTCCGTTATCAGCAGAATGCAACAGTCCTTCATGATCTTTTACGATGCAATCCGCAACTTCCACTCTTCCAGTTTATTTACCAGAGACCTTATATTTGAGAGGACAATGCTTGGAAGTGGTGGCTTGTGTGGCTGTTTCCTTAGCCTCGCCAGCAGGCCGCCCCGGCACCCCTGGTCTCTGCGCCGCCGGCGTCTCCTGGAAGCCGGTGTTATGCCGAAAAAGGCATCCCTTTCTTAGGATGCATGCCGGTGTTCCGACGAGTTGAGCTTTTAAGGGTTTTTTGGGGGTCAGGGGTTTTTTAGGGGTTAGAGTTAGGGTTTTAGGGGTGTTTTGGGGGTTAGGGTTTTAGGTGGGTTTTGACGACGCTGAAGTTGGCTCCTTATTCGCAGCTTAAATGCTTCGCAGCCCAATGCAATGACGCTATTGCGCCTGTAGGGGGGCAATACCTTAAACCTCTCTGGGCCAGGACAACGTCACTTTTTCTGTATAGTAGGATACCTGATGTGTACTGAGAAGTTTATATTTGCCTGGCCCAGAGAGGTTTAAGGCATTAAAATGGGCAAGGCAGGTATGCCTTTTTCGGCATAACACCTGAATTGTAATCCACAGAGAGCCCGGTGTCCGTGCGATGTCGTCCGGAATGTTGTCTATACGGAGAAACTCTGACGTCGAGCAACTCTCGCTCTGTAGTAGTCCGATAGATAAAATATCCTGCCAGTTATAGATGTATTTATCCATGTAGGATGGTAAAACCAAGCTCGGTCGGAGAGCACACAGTGGCAGCATCTGGTCGCGTTGTCATATGTTACTGCACGTTTCCCGCCTGCATTGAAACTGTCAGCGTCGTGGAGTAGTCATCTCTGTTCAAATATCAGTGTTGGCTGAGGTACTTTACTAACTGGAGGGCTTTTCCTTAACCTGTATGATGGACACTGCAGATGGTCATGATGTTTCTTTAATGTTGTTTAAATGTTAGAGCATCTGAACCTCCTGCAGACAGCCGGGCTGAGTTTTTTATTTTCATTAATGTCCTTCATACATGTGAATTGTAACCTCTTCCATCTCTGTCTTCTCTAGCTGCAGAATGGTAACCTCCCTTCAACTGCTGCTCACCCTTGTACTCTGTGTCCATCTTGGCTTAGGGGCAAACTCAGGTGAGTAAAAGCATTAAACTGATTCTGTGGTCGGGTCTTTCACTGTCTGTATCCCTATTGTGCTGTAGAGACTTTAACTTCGTCAGCTGCCTGTATACTCTACCTGTTGTAGAAGTTAAACTGCGGTATGTGATTGGTGGAAAGTCACATGGCACAATGATTAGACCAATCAGTGTGGAGATCTGAAACTGTGTGTAAAATAGTTAATATAATAACCTTTTAATGGCTTTTTCTCTGTTGATCAGCCATTGAATGTCGTACTGGAGACACAGTCACACTCCCCTGCCATGGAAGACCACTTAATGACACAGAGGAGCTTCAGTGGATGTTTCAAGGCAAGCCTGCCTCATTATATAGAGGTGGATGCTGGTGTGAAACTGGTCATTATATCAACCGAACCTGGCTTGGATCCATCCAACAAAAGAACTGGTCTCTGATTATCACCGACATCAGAGAAGAGGATGAGGGGTCCTATGCATGCCGAGACGGTGGACGTACAGATGATGTGGAAAACATTCGCCTCATCATTCTCAGTAAGTGACCCTTATTACCAAGTGACCCTTCAGATGGTCACTTGGTCACTTAGCCGCATCATCTTACATAATATAGTACATAATAATCATGATATTTTTAATATGTTTTTTAGGGCTGAACGATATTGAGAAAAGTGCACGTTATGATTTTTGAAGTTTTAAGCACATGCAGCAGCGGTAATCTTTAGATAATTTTATTTATTTATTTTATATACATGATATTGGGACACCTGCCTTTACACATACATGAACTTTAATGACATCACATTCTTAATACATAGGCTTTCATATGGAGTTGGCCCACCCTTTGTAGCTATGACAGCTTGAACTCTTCTCGGAAAGCTGTCCGTAAGGTTTAGGAGTCTGTTTATGGGAATTTTTGACCATTCTTCCAGGAGAGCATTTGTGAGGTCAGGCACTGATGTTGGATGAGAAGCCCTGGCTCGCAGTCTCTGCTCTAATTCATCCCAAAGATGTTCTGTCGGGTTAAGGTCAGGGCTATTTGCAGGCCAGTCAGGTTCCTCCACACCAGACTCGCTCATCCATGTGCTTATGGACCTTGCTTTGTGTAGTGGTACACAGTCATGTTGGGACAGGAAAGGGCCATCCCCAAACTGTTCCCACAAAGCTGGGAGCATGAAATTGTCCAAAATGGCTTTTTTAAGAGTTCCTTTCACTGAAACGAAGGGGCCAAGCCCAACCCCTGAAAAACAGCCCCACACCATAATCCCCCCTCCACCAAACTTTACACTTGGCACAATGCAGTCAGGCAAGTACCGTTCTCCTGGCAACCGCCA